GTACCTGATTGAACTTCAATCCACAACCAGTTCACACATTCCCATTGACGCATGCAATTGCAAAGTAGACTCGAAGGAGGCAAATCCACACAAAACTAGAGAGAGAGATGCACAACGGAAGCTCACAGACACGAGAGAACTGAAAAACGAATTTCAATTCTTTGAAATCAGACTCGCTTTCTGCCCCACTTCGCATACATGCAAACAGATGGAGGTTCACACTGGCGCATAGCGCCCACTCAAAGCTTCGAGATATGGAAGCCAGGAACACAGTACGGATGCAAACTCGCAACAACAGGCTATGGCGCATCAGCGCCTGTACACTCAACTCTCGTCACTGTGTCCAACACCACTGTTCGCACAGACTCCACTGTGGATCACCCTGGATATCCCACACACACTATCTTACACACACACATGCACACTACTAACACTAACACTACAGCAGCTATGGCCGCACTACTACTAACTATGTCACACTATCTTCCTCAGCCCACTTCGTCTTCGGGCACTCTGCAGACCACCTCGCACAAGTCGCTGTAGCAGCGCTTCCGCATGGCTCACGCAGGCATGAATGAATGGCTGGCGCTGCCTCTTGATTTATACTTCTGTAAGTCGTTGGTCTGCCTCTTTCCACCGGGCCCATGGTGCACACAGTCCCTCGTGGTACTTGCTGGACTGGACTGGGACTGACTGGACCGTACTGCTGTGCAATGACTTGCTGTTTTCTGGTCGCCTGTAGCCTCTCTCTGTCGAGGCTGCACTATAGGTAGGACAGTTCCGTAATTTTTGTTTGGCTGAGGGCTAACCGAGAGACCTACCCGTGAGGGAAATTCGTCAGGAACATACCCTGTCTCTTATACACATCTAGATGTGTATAAGAGACAGATATACAGTACCTCCGTCCAATCCAGTCCTTTGCAGGGGCAAACACGAGCTCGAGCATGCTCTTGTTTTCATCAGCGTAACCTTTGCACGTGGTACTCATATCAGCATAGACGCTCAGAAGAGGAGACCGTGAGAACAGCAGCTGATCAATTGTCGTCAATTTCCTGTCGAACCACAAATGGATATTAATAACAGGGACACCCTCCAGACCTTTGAGCTGCTGGAAGTAAGGGTCAGACTTCCACTGCTCAGGAATGAGCAAGGCCAGCGGATCGACAGGGATCGCTGACACATACACATCACCTGTAACTACTTCTCCTCCCACCAACTTGAACCCTGCTACTGTTCCGTCGCTTCCCACAAGAATCTCCTGAAGACGTTGGTTCATCTTCACCTGGACAAATACAAGGACCACAGCAAAATGAGTGCAAACATGGAAATGTCAACGAGATATTCGAGGCCTACATAAGTATCCATCGACAGATTGATGTTCTCTCTCTCTCTCTCTCT